GATGAGTCGCTATCCACATTTGTTTGTTGATGCATGATTCCGGGATAGAATCATCCGGAGGGGGAGAGAATTGTAATGCCCGTGTTTCAAGGCTAAGCATTAATTCGGTGATGTAATATATAGGGTCAACCAATGTAACATATTTCAATGTAATAAAGATGAATTATTTGAGTATTATGTGAATTATATGAATTTTTGTGCTTTATACTTATTGATTAAGACATAATAAATTAAGAATGAAAATAAGCATTAAAAACTAAATGTTAGATAAATCTTATATCTATGAAGAAATTTTTAGTGATCACTACAAGGATTCCAGAGATATAAAGAATGCCGAAATCTGAGTTATAATGAAGAAGTTATGACCTGTCGAAGTTTCGCAACAGAACCAGTATGACACTGCGTAACGTAAAAAGTGAGTTTACGATAAATTGATTTTTAGCCTTAGCGATCTAAACAAAAGTTGTAGTGGTCGCTAAACCGAGAGTGTGCATAAAAAGAACGTCCAAATCCGACTTCGTATGAGGAGGTTATGAATTTTCTAAGATTGGACATAGTAGTGTGCAACCCAGAGTTTGAATTTTAGACCGAGCGATTTTAGCCGACACAATCTAAAAGAGAATTGAAGATCTCTTTAATAGTAGCTCAACGGTAAAAAGACAAACGAAAATAGACGTCGGATGAAGAAGTTATGATTTTTTTACGGACCCTCCTGTCCCGGCTTGTTAAAAATATAACTTTAAAAATATATTCAAAATTAGCCAACGAAGTCTAAACGAAATTTGTAGACTACGGTCCCACCTACGCATGGATATAAAGAACATCAAAAATGGAGCTCATATTCGGATGTTAAGAATTTTAGAAGTCGAGAGGGTAAAAAGCAAAGCTGGTGCGAGGGGTATGCCCATCGTACCCTTGGACATCAAGCGTACCGAAGTACGCCCTATGTACGAGGCCCATACGCCCCACAATCTCTTTCCTTCTGCAGTTCTGAAGCAGCCACGAAGCCCCATCAGACAACCGACGCGTGTCCACTACGCCCCGCATACTCCAAAGAGTACTTCCAACGTACAGAGGACTTCAGTTACTATAAAAGGGTGCAAGGTGCAACCTTTTTTCTCATACTTTTACACCTTTCTTTCTCTCTCTAGTCTTCCTAAACCACCCCGAAGCCTAGGAAATCTCCCTAGCACTAGAAGAAAGCCTCGGAGTGCCCGAAGGCTCCAAGAAAAAGAGTTTTTCGGTTTAGAAACTCTGCCCCCGCAGAGCCTAGTTTTCATGAAAACCTCCCGGTTTTGTCAACGGAGATTATTTTAAGAAGCGAAGCGCTGTCCGAATCACTACCATATCAAATGAATGTATAGTCACTTTCATCTTACACATAGTTATGAAGTATTTTATATAAATTAGGTGCTATGTGTATATATATTATCAGTTTACCTGAGTTGTATGTTGGATGAAAGATCTATACTTCTTTCTTTTCAGATCTAAACTTTTTTTCTTTAACATCTGAACTTTTTCCTTCAAATCTAAACTTTCTCATTTCGGATCTAAACTTTCAGATCTAAAACTATATATATATATATATATATATATATATATATATATATATATATATATATATATATATAATACTTTGAGATCTATGTTGTATGAAAGATTTAAAATTCATTTTTCAAATCTGACATATATATGTATTTTATATCTACAAATATGTTGGGTAAAACATAGGTAGATGAAATAGTTGGTGTGTGATGCAATAAAATGATGATAGGCATCGACGTTGACAATGTTTCAGTCGTCTAGCAGAGTATAGATGACGACCACAGACTTTTCTAGACAGTCCAGTGGAACGCTAGCAGGCTCGCAACCTGTAGGTGTTTGTGAACGACATTGTCACTTGTGTACTCCATCCCCCTCATGGTTTCCTTACGGACATTTATGTCCGGGGAATCCTCTCGAAAGTAGTGTCCAACTTGATGATGATCCTTAGGCTAGGTACCTTTTATTAGATGCTTTATGGATGTAAAGTTAGGATAACGGGAACGGGTAATCGGGTTGAATGATTGTTGAAAATAATAAACTTATTTATTGTAGGTTGAAAACCCTATATGCTCACCAAGCTCCCCAACTTGACCCACTCAATTTCTTGTATTACAGGTAGTGGCAAGAGCATAGTTAGATGATCCTACGAGAGATTATGGATTTTAGTCTAGTAGAAAACAAATAGAATGTTGTAAGGCCTATGTTGTTTTTATGCCAATTTTGTTTTGTAGTCTATGATGTTTTGTTTATGCTTTTGATATGTATTGACAATGACATCCCGAAGTTTGTAATGTAATGGAAATACATTTCTTCGGAAATGCTTTGATAAATCATTATTATATTTTGTTTTGGGAATAAATTCTGCAACACTTTTCTTTAAAAGGTTAGTCTGATTTTATTATAAAGCATAAACGAAATCGGTCTTTTCTGGTCGTAAAATTGTGGATGCCACAGTCTGAGGCATCGGGGCTCAATCTGCATACACGTAGCAGTCTTCCCTATTCACTACTAAAGAGCTTAATACTTCGACTTTTACGTCCAAATGCAGATCCAAGGCCAAAATACCACTGAGAGTCATCAAGTTTTCAACTTTATGACTTTGCATGCCTATTAAGTGCTTAATACCAACAAAGTTAACTTCTTAACACCTAAAGACCTTCTAGAGCATGCATGGGGAAGAACTAAGCATCAAGATCTCATTTTTATGACTCATGACCCCTCATTGGGTCTGAAAGGATGACTTATTTGATCAAGAACACGTCATGCTCAAGAATCACAAAGTTTGGGACCAAAAATGCCCTAAAGGAAGGAATGTCTAGATCTATAAGAAAGAATGGTCAACCTGTGAGCTTTTTACCTCATGGAGGTTGCTAGCAAGTAGAGAATCCTAGATACATGCTTCTTTCAAGTTCCAATGTCCTTCGACCACCTACTTCTTCTTCAAGAATACCACCCAAAAACACACAAATGAGCTCAAAGTGCACTATTATCACTTAGGTATAGCTAGGGGATGAAATGGCAAGTGGAGGCTAAAGAGGAAATGAGAAATGAGGAGTTAATAATGTTTATATATGGACCAAACCCTAAAAATTAGCGTTCGAGGATCCTTCACGTACGCCCAGCATACACGGTTTATGCCTAGCATATGCGGTGTACGCACAATGTTTTAACGCCCCCACATGTACGCCCAGCATACATAATGTACGCCCAACATACTAAGCCTATCCGGAATTTACGAAAATGCCATTATGGGCCCAATTACGGAAATGCTAGTTGCACTCGTATCCTTGGTTGTGAGGCAACCAGGTTCCCATTTAGCTACCTTGAAGTCCCGGTTTGGGCTAACATGACTAGAAAAAATAATTGTGCACCTATTATTGACCGTGTCCAAAACTGCCTCTCCTCGTGGAAAGCTAAGACTCTGTCATTTGGAGGTCAATTGACTTTGGTCAAGTCGGTTTTAGGCAGTATTCCGCTCTTTTACTTTTCCTTATTTAAGTCCACTGCTTCGGTTATCGATACCATCGAGAAATTAAGGCATCATTTTCTTTGGGGCGATAATGATGATAAAAACAAAATATGTTGGGTTGCTTGGAGGTTGGTTTTAGGCCCAAAAGATAAAGGAGGCCTTGAAGGGTTCGTTAATCTCTATCAATGCAACATTGTTAAGTAAGTGGCTTTGGAGATTCAAAAATGAGCCTAACGCCTTATGGCGTCACGTAATTTGTGGGATTCACAATTGCTACGGGAAACCAATGAATTTATGGGGGAAAAAGACTATACGGAGTTTGGTATAACATTCTAAAGTCTGTTGCTTCCCTTGACTCTCTTGGCATCGACTTAGCCTCTCTTTTTAAAGGTGAAATTTGGTTCTGGCACCCTTTTCTGGCTTGAAGATTGGACGGGAGTCGGTTCGCTTGCCACTCGATTCCCTGCCAATTTTTATCTGGATAAGAAAAAATATGCTTATGTTGTTGAGAGGTTGGCCCCCAATTGTGTTATATGGGATTGGAAACGACTTTCTTTTGGTAGTCAGGAAATTATGGAGTTGGAAAAGGCAAATAATTTACTCGGCCACTTTTCTCTGAATGAAGGTATGGATCATTGGGTTTCAAAAATCTCCGAAGATGGTGAGTTTTATGTGAAAGATTTCAGGGCGTTGATCGACAACAAATTAACTACCCTGGTGGATAATCCTATATTAAGGATTAAAATTGTCCCACTAAAGGTTATTATTTTGTTTAGCGAGCATATATGGATCGGATCCCTACGGGCGGTGGCTCTCTCGCGTAGGGGTATTCAACCTATCTCCATTTCATGTCTCTTCTGTGATTCTGGGAGAGACGACACATATCACATTCTTCTTGGGTGGTGCAATATCCCTTCTTAAAGCTTTGTCTCAATTGCAAAATTTGTCAATGTTGCTGCCACATGGGGGCATTGTCCCAAAAAGAGAGATGGTTCCCTCTATTTGGTACATTTTCCTATGGTGTTGTTGGAAGGTAAGAAATAACATGGTTAACGGAATCCATGCTTCTTCCTTAAAGTTGGCTGATAATGTGATTACATTGGTGTATAGTTGGGTGAGTGTTACGGGTAATTTTGGAAACTGTAATTGGGCTAATTGGTATTGTTGCCTGCTGTTTCTCCCTTTTACGATTTAGCATTTTTCATGAACATTTAATCAAATTTAATACAAGAATAACCTTTAAATCCATTCTTTGTAAATAATTTTTTATTCATATTTTTTTACGATCTCATAGCTACATGTAAATATGTCAAACTCTTAGGAAATTCACTAACCTCAAGATTCATGTAAGGTTGTCATACAAGTTCTGTTTGCAAGATGTAAAATCATTACATATATCATACGTAGGATATTAGGTTGTGATACTTAACATGCATAAAACTTTTATACACCATGTGTAAAACGCATGTTAACATTAAAACATGCCATAAAACATATATATTTGCCATATAACGGTAACATCATTTTGTGTAAATGAAATATAACACTGTGTTATACACTTATATTAGATCCTTCCTGGTGTCCAGATAAATCACATAACATACCACCTTACTTTAAGCTTGATTTAGACTCATAAGTTTCTCTTTAATCTTCTTCAGTTGCTGCCTAATCTTTTAAGAGTAACTCTTACTAACATCATCTATGCATTAAGAGCTTTTGATTTTATTGTTACAAGTTATTAGTTATTACAATTGTGAGTTGTTTACATACAACAAGAGCTTCTCCACCCCCAAACAAGTTGGGATCGGCTAAAAATTGACCCAAAACAAATTTTATAAATTCCAAGAATCTACAACATAATCCAATGCCAAAATCTGCAACTATTTGAACATGAGGGACTGTATATGTTATATCTAAATTACCTGACTTTTTTGTAATATACAAAGTTGCAGATAGAGGAAGGGCGTGTTTCGAATGTCTAGGTATCATTTGGTGTTACAGTAGTTGCTTCAGATCGGGTGCTGATGACTGTAGGGGCAGAAACGTCTTTTCTGTGCCTCTAACAAAATCAGCAAGTTCTTCCGGTGCAACCACCAACTTTAACCATTCTTGCAACTCTTCCCCTTCCACTTTCTCTTTTTCTATAAGTAGTACCCAAAAAAATAAATAAATAACATTACTTCAACAAGCTTTGTTCTAGGAGTTGAGTTCCAACCTTTTGGTGTTTGTCTAAATTAAGTGTTGTATACACAATGTTGAAGGTCCAATTCCTTTTTAAACAATCTGAACGAGACTAAATGACCATTTTACCCTTCATCTATAAATGAATGGAGGAGGGGTAATACAGTAAAAAGAGTGTCTGAATGGATAAAGGGAACTAATTACCTTCAAGATAAGCACCAAGCCCCTCCAAAACAGTGGGATTAGCACGCATGACAGAAAGCGCCACATCAAGTGCTGATTGAAGCATTAACTTAACTTCTCTTTGAACAAGATCCACTAAATGCCCCTATAAATCATGTTCAAAATGCTCTTACATTTTCCAAAAAGTAAAGAACTAGATTCACCATTTGAAAAAAAAAAAAGGAAAACCTGATCCCTTCCGAAACCCATTGATCCACTGGAATCATCCATTCCTCCATTTGAAAGTGTTGACAATGAGATAGGACCTATGGTGGGATTTAGACCATATTCAGCAATAGCTTTGTATGCCATGTCTGTAGCCCTGCGTATGTCATCAAGTGCCCCTGTTGACACGCGACCCGAGTAAATAATCTCTTCAGCTGCACGTCCTCCAAGAAGGGTGACTAAGCGCCCTCTTAACTCATCCACAAAAAGTAAATATCTGTCCTCTGTTGTTGGAGGGGTGTAAGTGAATCCTAAAGCCCCTCCTGACCTTGGTAGTATGCTTAGTTTCTGATACCAAAACAAAACATGAATACTCGTCATTACTCAATTGGAATTGGAATCCGCGATTCCATTCCATTCCACGATAAAAAAATCTTTACCTCAACCCGTGGTTGCCCTGCAAGAAGTTTAGAAACAGCTGTGCCTACAACTGCATGACCAGCTTCATGTCGAGCCACCACTGCTTTCTCAGTGCCTTGTAACTTGGCTGTTTTCTTTTCAATCCCCTGTTTTTTATCAAAAAATAAATCATATAAATATATAATGTCCTTTTTATTTTACAAGAATAAAAAATAATAATAATTACAGCAATTGAACGCTCCACTGCTTGGATAAAGTCCATTTTCTCCACCACTAGCTTACTTTGTCTCCCTGCCAACAAAGCTGCTTCATTTACTAAATTAGCAAGGTCTGCCCTGCATACCAAACCAAAAAAATGTATTTCAAAAAAAAAAAAAAAAAGATCAAGGGTAGTTTTGGAAATAAAAAAAGATGATTTTTTTTATTACCCGGTGAAACCAGTGGTCATGGAAGCGATTTTAGCAAGGTCAACATCCTCTCCCAGAGGAAGCTCTTTCTTGGAAACATGCACATTCAAAATAGCTTGTCTTCCAACCCTATCCGGTGTTTCTACCTAAAATAACAAAAACTTAAGTTAGCATTTTTGCTATTCTTTTTATTTTAAAATAATAATAATAATAATATAAAACTATTAGAGAGATAAATAAATACCAAAAGGGAGAAGAAGACAGACCATAACCACACGATCAAATCTCCCTGGTCGACGAAGGGCCGGATCCAGTACATCAGCACGGTTTGTTGCTCCAAGAACAATCACAGCAGAATTACTATCAAAACCATCCATCTCCTACAAATTCATAAATTAAATTAAAAAAAATTAAACTACCATTGACTAAAAAAGAAGTAAAAGTTTGACTTATTAATACATACAGTGAGCAACTGATTCAAAGTCTGTTCTCTTTCATCATTACTGACAATTCGGAATCTGCCATCGCGACTCTTGGCCACAGCATCAATCTGCAAAGATTTTAATATAAAAGAGAAGGGTATAAGTATAACTATAACTAAAATTAGAAAATGAAAAATATTTTATATTTGAACCTCGTCTATAAATATGATTGATGGAGCTTCCTTTTTTGCCCTTGCAAAGAGATCACGTACACGTGAAGCTCCCATGCCAACATAAAGCTCTACAAACTCACTTGCTGAACAGCTTATGAATGGGACTTCAGCTTCCCCTGCTACAGCTTTTGCTAAAAGTGTCTTACCTGTCCCAGGAAGACCAACCTGTAAGATAAGATACGAAGCCATTTTACAAATTTACCCCTGGTTGAAACACAATGTAAGAGAGCCTGTGAGTTAGGGTTTTGAAACTCACCAGAAGGACACCACGAGGTGGCCGAGCACCAAGTCGTATATATCTATCTGGATTTCTTAGAAATTCCTGAATTCAGTAGAAAAATTACAAAGGATAAATGATGTGTCTTTGGAGTAAGTGTTATATACTATGTATGTGTCATCAAGAATAATTTTAAATCCTTATTACATGCTATAAGGACAATGAACTTACTACAATTTCCTCAAGCTCCTCTTTGGCCTCATCAACACCAGCAACATCAGAAAACATAACAACTTCCCCTTGGTCGTTGACTTTTGACCCACCAGAACCACTTGACTTGCGGTTTCTAAGTTGACCAGGAGATTGCTGTGTTTGGATTATGAAAGAAAGTGAATGTCACTTTTCAATGAGAAAAGAAGTGATAACATGTGAAGAAATAATTAAATAATGTGTATGAGTATAGAGTTAACCTACCTGAGAAAAGTTTACAGGGAATCTGGAAAGTAACCCTGCCAACACAGCTACATAAAACAATGCTATCTGTGAACATAATTGAACCATTAGCTGCTTGTTTCCATGTTTGATGTGTAGAGCAACCTAAAATCCAAACTTACCAAAGCAGAGTTCAAGAAGCCACCAGACCTCTTATCAGGAGACCCGAATTCCACATCATTTTCAAGCATCTTTTCGTAAGGAGTCTTGATATCATTAGGGCGGGTTGTTGTGTACACAATCCTCTTTGTAGGTGCCACGCTCCTCAACAACAACTCTGAATCCTGCATTTTACTTAGACTACTACTAATGTCACTTTCTGGGGTACCTTGTTCTTGTTTCAGCTTAAACATTATATGAACTCCATCAACCTCCACCTTTTGGACCTGATTGGTACTGACTTTAGTCAAGAAATCACTGTATGGAACGCTCACGAATGTGGTCGGAACCCTAGGCTCCGACCCTGGCAATGGAAGACCTGGCCGAAGCAATCTCATGACAAACATAACAATCCCTAACTGCAACAACAACACACCGATTTCTTGTGCTTGAATTATCGGTTGCCACCTCCATTTGCCACCGCCTTTCCCCCACCCCCACCCCCATCCACCCTTCCCCTTCTTCTCCCCCTTCTCTCTCTTCTTACTCACTTTATTGCTCTCACTCTCGCTCTTCTGCCCCGAAGATTCTGTATCATGTTCGCAGGAACTATTATTCACACCCAATTTATTCCTTCCTCTACAACTTTTATTCATCTTCAGAAACCCTAACCCTCCACCCCATGAATTAAAATTGGAAACCCTAGATTCTCTGTACAAATTGATGGCTGGGCGAATGGATAATGACGATTTGGTTACAAAAGCATTCGACTTTTCATGTACAACACGAAATCTTTCGCGGAAGGAAGTGCACCTGTATGAGTATTTTGGATTGTAATTCGAAGAGTTTAAATGGATTTGACCGTGAATTATAGGCCGTAGCGTTTCAATAGCTGCCATCTTATTGATTGATGCCCTAGGGCGTCGCTGAAATGTTTAAAACTAAAATCAAGAAAAATATAAGGAAGAAGGGTTTGCATATAGTGTCTGCTAGTGAATTATGAAAGGTATGGAAAATCTGGTTTTGGGTATGGATCAGGATTACAATTATTTCAGAGGGAGAGAGAGGATGGAGGTTGAGGAAGGTTTGTGGACCATTGAACTTTCTGCCTTCGTTTTTCCTTGCTGTTTTTGTAGACACCGGCCAAAAGAGACAATATAGATAAAAATGGGATGAAATTGATAAAAGATAAAATTAAAATTAAATGATTATTAAGGAAAGCATATCTTAACATGGTTATCCATGTCACAGCGAGAAAATCTCATTGTTTGGTTAAGAAGTACTCATAATTATGGGTGTGTTGGGCATGGAGTTTTTGAGAGTTTTTAATTTTTAGCGTTTGATAAAATGCTCCATTTAAAACAAAAAGTTTTGTTTGGTACTACAAGCTTGTAGCGTTTAGTTTAATCAAAACGCTTCAAATCCAAATGTTACTTCATGTAGCGTTTAACTAACCGCTACAAGCTACCCGCTACCAATTAGTTTTTCCGAACACGTCCTGTATATTTATGAATGAAAGTTCAGTCAATAACTTCATTGATAGAATCATACAATTTTATCTATCTTCAATTATGACCATTCTAAGTTTCTATTTATAGTTATTTGATAATTATTTTGCTTGATGTGCACCTCCACAAAAGACGGTCATCTTCTCCACGTTCTACTATCTCCCCTCCATGACCGCTCACGTCCGAACTCTCTTGGGATGTATATTCTAGTTTTGTGTGTTTATGACTTTATGTTCATTCAATTGCAAAACATAGAAGAAACCAAAGCTTCATGGAGAGAGGGAATATGAGGCGGACGCGGTTTGGTGATTCTTACCAACGGAAGCAACCTGAAAAATCATGGCCTTCAACAATCATCACACATATGCAACCATCATCTACAACCACTCAGAGCTTCAATTCATCATCAATCCAACACTTCAACTTCCTTTGTACATCCATTCATGTAAGTTTGGACCATTTTCTTCAAAAAAAAAAAAAAAAAAAAAAAAAAAAAGCTCCATTAATATATGAGTTTTTAATTATTCAATGCCCGATAGTTGGTAATTATTTAGAGCAATTAGTTTGATATGTATATGTATGTAAAACATTTATGTTTTTGTTAAATCCCTTCTCCTTAAATCATCATTACACTTTTATCTAGGTTACATGTTACTTCAAAATTGGTGTTAATTTCACATTTGGAGTCAAAATTGATACGAACACATAACGTAGGGACCAAGCATTATGGGAGCCTTGGGTAATTCATGCTACCCATCAAAAAATTTCTAGTAGTGTATTTTTTCACAATTTTTTTCTATATTATGGTGCTACCCCTGAATGAAATAAATAAATAAATAAAGGTTACCACAAACTTATAAATCCAAACATAAAACACAAAAACACAAAGTAGTCTAAACCGTTTAAAGTAGCCTAAAGGTTTAGGTAGTCCAAAAATACTAAGTGCAAATTCAATGCACAATTCCTTTAAGAAAATAAGATGCAGCCCAAATTAATCTTTTGTTGGTCAAAGTCAAAAGGGAGGAAACACAAGATAAATGTTGATATGTTGTTCTTTAACTCTTGTAGCCAACTTGATGCAGCAGGCTTCTGGTTACCTGCTCTCCGACCAACGCAAGCCACCTATCATAATGAAACAGGTAGGTAACTCAATCATATTACTTATTATAAGATTATTTTAAATTTTCATTATTTGCCAGTGTGTTGAAAAACTAAAAATTAGCAATTATGTTTATTTAATTAGGGACTTAGGGTTAATAGTTAGTTGTAATTTCTTGTTGAAACTTAAAATCAAGGTTTTAGTTAAAAATTTGAAATCTTTTCATTGTAGGGTTCCATTAGCATTTTTTCAAAAGACAATTATATGTTGGAGATGACAGTAGTAGTGGACCTTCCAAAAGATATAACTCTAATGAAAGCCTATAAGCTCCACAAAAGCATAAGACCACAAGTTTCGTAACCTAATGAACATACTTAAAGACTATAAGTTCTACTTCCATAAAGCCAGAGAGCACAAGTTCCAACAACTTTCGATTTAAATGATTTTCCTTCGGACCCTAGGGATAGGCCAAAAGTTACATCTTATCATCCTAATCAAAGGGGGTGAAAGGAGGGCATTTTGACTAAAGGACATTGTCAACCAAAGGGCATGATTTCCCATCAAAGGTTTTTGGTAAGAAGCTAAAACGTTTCATTGTTGAAGGGTTTGGTGAATTTAAATGGTCAGAGTACAACATTAAAAAGAATAAAGCTTATTTTTTGTGTTGCTACTTGTTCGAAGATATGGTGGGAGAACAAGATGGAAGAGGTTTGTATGACATTATTTTATAAAAGATTTGTGAAATCTTTCTTTTACATAAAAGGTTGTATAAAAAATTTTCCAAAGATTTTGTATAAATTTCTCGGATCCTAGTATGAGTTTGGAATCACACGAGTGTTCATCCAAATCCCTTAAACCAGGGCTCTGATACCAACTTCAGTCTTGAAATATATATGTATACTAGTCTACTTTCATATATCACTTTTGAATTCAATCTCATTGGTTTTGTTTAAAAGGTTGTGTTTTTTTACGTGATAGAATTTTGATGACAATATGAAGATGAGAAAACTACAAACACAAGTTTTGAAGATGCTTAAAGAATATGGATCAACGGTAGATAAGAATGAACTTGTTGAGAGACACTTGAGAATAAGGTTAGTTTAAAATGAGTTTCATCTTTTCTAGATCATTGTATCATGTCTTTAACAAAATATTGAATTTATGATAGATTAATTCAAGCTCCAAGTTTGTTGTTAATGGGAAGTATGTATAACTAGATGCTAAAAGTTAGAGAGTTTTGCAGATTGAGTCCTTCGTGAATTGCAATTTAAACATCCCGATTTTCATACCAAAATTTTCATTTTTAAAAGACAATATTACATTCAAATATGCAGTCATTCATTCATAAGGAAAACCGTTGTTTGATAATCAATACTTAATTGTTCAAATCAAAGTATAATTAACACATGCGGAAATCTCAAACATGATGATGATGGGCTTGCACAGTTAAACATGGCCCTTCCTCCCGATCTAACGAAATATTTGCAACATAGTTAATCAACAACTATAAGCCAAAGCTTAATGAGTTATCCTAAATACAACATACGACAATGCACATACAAGCATACAAGTAAGGCTCTCGGTACTAAAATCGATCCGTCTGAACAATATCGAGTATCTAGACTCACAACATTATAGTTAGTCTTGCCATCAATTTGCCCCATTGTGAGTGCTTAGACTCATAACACTTAATGTTGATCTCGTTATCAACTCACCCCTTTGGCCCTTAGTATGAAGTTGTATCACCTATATTTTGGACTTCCGCACAAAGTTGGAATGCCTCAGCCTAATACAAATATGTCGACATATACATAATACAGATAAACTGCCAACTCAACATCACAAGTAACGGTTTATAAGTCTACCTGTCTAACATCATATTATAGCCTAACCACCTCCTAACATACAAGGATACATACTATAATATATAGTATAGTGAGAAAAATCACATGAACAACTACCCAGACGACTATCAACGATCCAACTAGCGAGTAGGCACTCTGAACACGAAACGACATATAATGCTATAATTGATCAGCAACTAAGTAAATATGATAAAAAAAAGCTATATCATTCATTAATCCCAATAACACTAAATAACTATCAAATAAGGATTAGATAATGTTTGATAGTTGTTGATTGAGTTAAATCTAACTAAGTTAAAGGTTGACTGAGTTAGAAGTTAGGACTGAGTTTGTTCCTGAATGAAACTTGGTTATTTGATTTTGCATATGACTGACTGTGTTGAATGATGAAAGTGATCATATTACCCTCAAGTTCAATCTTTTTCCTGATAATATATATATATATATATATATATATATATATATATATATATATATATATATATATAATTGATTTAGTATCTAAATGAATTTGTTGAATAATTCTAAAAAATACAAAATATCTTTAAAAAATCTAAATTAAACATAAATCATTTAAAATCCAAATATTTAACATATAGTTTGTGGAATTTAAACTTGAAAAGATTTAACATCCTGTTATGGATTTTGAAGAGGTTATGATCAATAAATACAAGCCTTCATTGAGAACTTTTTTGTTGACAATATAACATAAATGAAAATCTTTGATTTTCCATTAGGTTTATATGTTAAAAACCAAGGGAGAATCACTAGTTGCATACATATGAACATAATATGTACATATAATTGTCATCCAAAAACCATACTAGTATAAACAGGAGTTCCAACTTAACATTTTTGTCAACTCAGGGGTGTTATAGGGGAAATCAACCATCTTTTCTGAAACAACATCTAACACTACAAGAAAAACACGATTTTTTTATGGAAGGGCACTATGGAACGTATTTATGTTGTTATTCTACAGTGGATCATGCTATGGAATGTCGTTCCACATCAAAGTTGCTACCACATTGTCTATAGAATTTATTTTCGGTAGCGAGCATGGGACTTGATAGGAAAAATGCTACCGACTCCAAATCCATTTGTATTATGCTACCGATATTTCTATGAAAAAAACATCTGTAGCAATTTTCCAATGAAATTTTTTACGAAAACACTTTCCGTTGTACTGTTAGTATGGAATTAATTATTGTGGTTAATATGTAACAAAAAATTTTAATGGAAAACAATTTCATAGTTGCTTTGTTATGGAAGTAGCATTTGTAGGTATTTTGCTAGGGAGCTATGCTAAGGAATTTGATTTCCTTTGCTTCTTTGCTATGGAAAAAAAACCTAGCTAATTTTTTATGACATCAGTTACGAAATTAAATTTCATATCAACTTTGATAAGGAGTATTTCAAATTTAGAG